TCCCTCTGTCTCTCTCTGATTGATCCAAACTTCTGGGATTTTTTTTTTTTTTTTTTTTTTTTTTTTTTCTCCGAGAGTTAGGCAGGCTGCGTGCGCCTGTCAAGTGGGGGAAAAAAAAAAATAGTGAAAATATATATATCGTTGACCAATGGGAGAGAGGGATCGGGAGAGACCCAAAAGCTGTGGACCAATGGGAAAGGAAGGAGAGCCGGACTTCGGAACGAGGAATTTTGGCCGTCCGCGGCCCCCGAGCACCGGGCGGGGAGTTAACCCTTCGCGGAGCGCCGCTCTCTGAGTGCGGGGAGATATCGGCTGTGGCACCCCTGCTCCCACGGGCTCGGGAACGAGGCCCGAGAATTAAAAAACAAGCGACCTGAAGTGCTCGAAAGAGGCCTTAAAATCTGGGGGTGCCGGACCGGAGGGTGCAGCTCAATCGTCATTCACGCCGTGTGTCGTGGGGTCGGCAGTGCTGTGAGCGGCAGGAATTTCTCGCTATGTTTTGAAGCGAAACTTACAACGTTTATATTTTATTCGATTTTATTACTCTATCCTATCTTATCCTATCCTATTCTATTCCATTCTATTCTATTTTTGTTATTTAATTTAATTTTGGCTTATTGTATTTTATTTTTATTTAATTTTTTTTTTTTTTTCTGTCATTTTAGCTATTGAGCGAATAAACCCTCCAGGCACAGCCCTGGGAAACGGTAGAGATGGCATCGGCCCCTCTGTCTGCTCTGCCCCAAACCTTTCGAGCTCGCAGGGAAAAGAGAAATCAGGACCGAATTCCGAGAGGGGAAAGCAGCTCTATGATCGGAGCGCGGGGATCCGTGCGATCGAGCGAAACCCGGGGGAAAACGTAGAAGGAGTTACATCGCTTCCGAGGATCGAGGGGAGGCTTGGGATAAACAATAAATAATTCTATAGGATGAGTTGGGCTTAGTGTGGATGGAGCCTCGTAGGGCGGTGAATTGCGGGGAGCGGTGCTCGGGATCGGAGGCTGCGGAGCGCCGTGGGGACGAGGGGTGGGAACGGCTGGCGACACTGCCGCGGTGCCGCGTTTAGGGGTACGCGGAACACCTCGGACACTTCTGCCCGACCTGAAGCGGGGTCCTCCGGGATTCGATCTGAGGGAAGGGGCATTCGGGCAGAAAGGCGAGAAAGGAATGATTTCCTCAGGAAGCGCCGGCAAAGCGGAGTGCCGCTATCTAGGCCGAGGAGCGGGTTTTGTGCGGCCCCGCCGCCCGCCCCGCACCCCCCGCCGCTCCTTTCCCCTCCCCTCCCCTCTAGGGCATCGCCTGTGACGGGTCGCGCCTGGCCGGGACTGCCCCAGTCCGCGGGGAGGGAGGTCGCGTCCCGGATCCCGGGGAGAGGGGGAATGTGGGGGGAGAGCAGGGAGCGCAGTGCTCTCGGAGGGAGCGCTCGCAGGGGGCCGCGGCGCAGCGTCTGCACCGGGCCGGGACGGAATGAGGGCCGCGCAGAACACCGCCGGCTCGGGGGCCGTGGAGAGGGGCTGTGAGCCCAACCAGAACCCGCTCACTCATTTCCGAGAGGAGACGAAGAGCGAAGAGGGCTTCTAAAGGAGCTGGAAGGGAGAGTTTAGAAAAAGAGCCCAAGAAAACAGAGAATTGTTTATAGCGTTTTAGCAGGAGGAATTGGTGTTGGAAAGGCAGCGCGACTGCAACGAAATTTGGGGGGCGATGCTTGAACACCGAGATAGATCTTCCCGGGTTTCAGCGCAGTTTTGCGCACCGAGTGGTTCCAGCACCCCTATCCCTTCTCGGTCTCTGGCCGAGGGGCAGAGCCCCGCACCGCATTGGCAGCGCCGGGAGCGAGGGCAGCTCCCAGCACAGCTCTCATCCTGACCGACCCCAGGGCGGGGGGGAGCGGGGGCAGCCCCTCCACCGGCCCTTCGGCCTCAACCTCCATTAAAACCAGGAAACCGCTCGCTGGAATCGAGCGGCGGGAGCAGGGGTCGCAGGGCCAGGCCCGGAGATGCAGAAAGAAATCATTCACACCCGCTCCTCCCCGTTGCCTGAAAATATTTGTTTGTGGATAGGAATGTTTGCGAAGGGGAGAAACGGGGGTGGCGGCAGCGGCGGAGTGCTGCACAGATGTGGTGCTCCAAAGGCTGAGCGCAGCCTGCAACGCTGCTGCGCTATGGGGTACGGCACCGAGGGTCCCGCAGCCGCATCGCGTACGGGGAGCTTTTTTCTTTTTCTTTTTCTTTTTCTTTTTCTTTTTCTTTTTCTTTTTCTTTTTCTTTTTCTTTTTCTTTTTCTTTTTCTTTTTCTTTTTCTTTTTCTTTTTCTTTTTCTTTTTCTTTTTCTTTTTCTTTTTCTTTTTCTCCCCGTTTGTAATTGAAAACAATGCTAAAACGAGCGTGGGCTGAGGGCTACCCGATAACGGGGGCGCGGGGTTTGCTGCTTTGTAGTCCATCGATCGCCTTCAGAGCGCAGAGGAGCAGCCGAGGCGGTGCCCTCGGAAGAGGCTTTGGGGCGCTTCGAGCCACGAGCGGGGCTGCGGCTGCGAGCAAAGCAAGGCAGCGGTCTGTTTTATGGTCCGCACAAACAGTATCGCTGCGTATGATGAACTAATTCCTAATTACGTCCCTACTGTGGCGCCCATTCGTTGCCCATTTCCGCTCCCCCGCTCTTTTCGGGCTCAGAGAAGCGAAGAGCCGCACAACGTTTACGGTCCGGGTGTTTTTAAATGGGCTTTGTTTGTGCTTTACGGAATGAAGCTCTCAATGAGTGTTTAAACAAACACCATGCCACTCTCCTAAGCCTTCCAGATGTTTGCAATAAAATGTCAGGTTTTGCCTTTGGGACTCGAAATAAAATTTAACTACCTTCACCCTGTAATTATTCTCTTAGCTCTCCCTTCATAAATTTATCTGCTTTCTATCAGGATAGAAAAAAATCCGATTATAAACTCGGACCATAAAACAGCCACCGCTTTCCCTCCATTTTACCAGGACCTCTCCTCTTTCGTTGCTTTCCTGCTTTCGGCGGGTTCCCCGAGCACAAAGCAGCAAAATATTCAGTCTCCCAGTACTGTTCCCGTGCCTTAGCCCGTCTACAGAACCCCGGCATCGTGTCGGGAGCTGGGGCTGTCCCCGTGCTGTAGGTAACGATGATGAACCCTTCTGAGCAAGCGGGTCCCTCTCCCGAACAAAGACTTGCAGAGACCTCTGACTTTTGGCTGCTACCTTAAAACAACAAAGGCAAAGCTAAGAGCCCTACATCGGGTATTGACCAAAATTCCGAACAACCCGGAGCGCTAAGTGATGTTTTCCTCCCTTTCTTTCTCGGTTTTTTCGTTTTCAGCCCTATTTCGTTCTGCGGAACTTCCGCAGCGTTCAGTTTTTGCTTCCCCAATGACCCCTCCATCCCCTTCGCCCTGCGCTCCGCCGGAATCTCAGAGCCCGCACACACCGGCGGTGCCTGCCGTCCCGCTCTTTTATTATTATCACCGTTTTCTCTTTGCTGACGTACCACCCATCCCGAGCAGGTGAGTTCTCGGGCAGCGAGAGGCCCGGGGCCGGGAGGGGACCTCCCGAAAGGGCTTCGGAGGAGCCCTTGGTAATCGGGACGAGGGCAGCATTCGGCCCAGCACCGGCGCCCGCTTTGTGAGGCCCATCGGCCCCTGTGCGGAGGGGAAGGGGAAGAAGCGGCCTCTCTCGGGGGTCTCCAGGTGTCCTCCAACCTCCTGCCCCTGTTCCCTGTTCGCAGGTGGACTCAGGGGCTGCGTTGGCGTGGGGGCTGAAAGAGATCTTAGAACGGCTCCTGGTGTTCGTTTGGTAGTGGTTTTTTTTGGGTTTTTTTTTTTTTCCCCCCTTTCTTCCTATGTATTAGGATTTCGGGTGTTTCGAGGTGTTCTGAAGATTTATTTTCTGTCCGAACCGGACGGAGCTGCGCCGCTCCCACTCGACCCCACGCCCGCCTCGACCCCACAGTCGCCGCGAGTCCCGCACACGGCGGCTCCCGCACTGCCCCGCCGCGCACAACGGCCCTTTGTTGCCCGGCGGGACCCGGGGTTCGGTGCTCAGGGCGGAAAGCCGAGCTGTGCCGCGTTCACTGTGGGCTCAGGCTAAAAAAAATAAATACGGGGCATTTTTTTAATTATTTTTCTTTGAGGCGCAGCTCTTTGAACCTGCGCGCTCCTCAGCCTCTCGCACGACGTGTTACACTGTAAACGATCCCGTTTAGCGCCGATCCTAAAACTCAGCAGACTTTAATGGCATCATTCAAGGAGCGAGGGCTGAAGGATGCCATCACTCCACTCCCGAGCTCAGGCGTTTCCCCACACGGCCACCAAAGCGGGAGAGCAGCCTCGGCCTCCTCGCGGCCCGGCGGCTCCGCACGGTGCAGATCTCACCCGTATCACGCGATCTCGGACCCGGCTTCGGGTCTCAGAGCTCGGATACGGAGGCCGCCCCTCACGGCCGCCTCGGGCCGCAGCCCAGAGTTCACCCAAGTATATTGCAGTGCGTGCAGCGATTATTGCTCTGAGCGAATTCCACGAACCAGAAAGCTGCCGGGATCGGGCTGTGCCGGGGCCGTTTGCTTGCAGTGCCCCTCTCAGAGCCGTTTTAACTTCCGACTGTTTTTATTTTTATGTTTGAAGAGCGGAACGGGAGTGGACGTCATTGCCACCTCGGTTCGGCTTTCGTACGGCCGCACAAAAACCGGGGAACACCATGCCGGGATCCCCTGCCTCTGT